CCCTAAACCCTAAACCCAAATTAAAACCTCCCAAGAAAGGGGTCTGGAGAGGCTTTTTGAGATGCTCCCTGGCTGCCTCATCAGGAAAGAGAAGAGCAAGTATGAGAAGCTGGCGCAAGAGGATGAGAGCACCAAGAAGGAGGGGTTTCCGGGGTTTAGGCATTAGGGTTTAGGGGTTTAGGGGTTTCGGGTTTAGGGGTTGAGGGTCTGATAAGGGTTTAGGGTTGAGAGGTTCAGGTTTCAATTCGGGGAGGGTATGAAGAGTCCCAAACACGTCGAATTGGCTGAATGTAGGGGCCTTAATAATTAGAATAAGGTTGTGGGGCAAATTATTTTCTTAATTATAGCTATCATAAGGAGGCCCCCCAAAATAGTATAGGTGATTATTTAAACATGGCCCCTGTAATTAAGGCGTTTAAGGTTCGGGCTGTAGGGTTTCACAGGTTTTTTTTCTCGGGTTTCGGGTTTATGTCAGGTTTAGGGTTTAGGCTTTCAGGGGTTCCCCACATGTGCAGGTAGTAGGACCCCACCTGGGCCAGGAGATCGAACGCGCCCAGTGGTCCATGCAGGCGCTGACGGCGGGCTGCTTGGCCGAAAGAGGGGCTTCGACGGGTTCCTTCGGCCGTGGGCTCCCCCGGGTTGACAGTTTGTAGGGCTTTCAGGCTTTTAGGGTCTAGGGTTTGGGGGTTTAGGGGTTCAGGGTTTAGGTTTTGGGGTTTAGGGTTTAGGCTTTCGGGCTTAGGGTTGAGGGGTTGAGGGGTTTAGTTTAGGGTGTACAGTTTATAGGGTTTTTTAGGGTTTAGGGTTTTAGGGTTTATAGAGTATAGAGTTTAGGGTTGTTGGGGTTTACGGGTTGAGGGGTTTAGTCTAATTAGGGTTCAGGGGTTTACTGTTTAGGGCTTAGGCTTCGGGATTGGGGGCGTGTTTCGTTTAAGGCGTCGGGCTTGGGTATCAGGGTGCCAGTTTTCGAGCTTGGGCTTAAGTAGAGATGTTCAGGTTGTGGGCATCCAGCAACTATAATCGACCATATACATTCGTAACTATCGCATACACTGAAACCCTAGAACCCCAAAGCCTAAGTTCCTAAAACAAATCTTGAACCCCGGAAACCCTAAACCCCAAGCTCTCAATTTTCATTTTCGGAACCCTTACCCTAAACCCTAAACTCTAAAAAAAAACCATCAAAAGAACCCGTGTAGTACCCCTTTGCGATCCGAGGAATGGCCGAAGCCCCGGCGCCGGATGCTGGCGAGGGCCGCTCCATGCGAGAGCAGCCTCTCGGCGGATTTTTTCGGGTTTTTAGGTGTTTTGAGTTTAGGGTTTAGGGTTTAGGTGTTTTCTTTAAGGGCTCCTTTCGGAGATCTCTTGCTGTAGCGGATCTGTAGTCTGTAAGAACTTGTTCTGTTACTTTCAGGGTTCCCTCAAGGGATCCATAAGGGATCTAAAAAAGTCGAGGGTTCTAGGGCTTCTCGCGTTTGAGGGCTTTGGGTTTTGGGGGGCTTGAAACCGCAAAACGCTAGAACTAAGCCCTGAAGCCCTAACCCTCATGTCCATGGCCCTGAACCCTTGCAGAACCCTTAGAAACCATCTGGAGCCCGAAGCCCTCAACTCTTTAGGGCTTAGTAGGGTTTAGGGTTCAGGGTGTAGTAGGGCGTAGGGTTTAGGGTTTAGGGTTCAGGGTGTAGTAGGGTGTAGGGTTTAGGGTTCAGGGGTTCAGGGGTTCAGGGTGTAGTAGGGTGTAGTAGGGTGTAGGGTTTAGGGTTTAGGGTTTAGGGTTCAGGGTGTAACTAGGGTGTAGGGTTTAGGCTTTCCAGACACCACCAAATTGCAAGCCTCAGCCCTTGAGGCTCCTGGCAGCGCAGACGCGTCTGCAAGAGATGCAGGCCCCAGTGCCGCCTTGAGGGTTTAGGGTTTAGGGTTTAGGGTTTAGGGTTTAGGGTGGGTTTGAATGCTAAAGGTCTTGGTCGGGCTTCGGGGTTTAGGATTCGGGTTTTTGGCTTGGCTTAGGGTTTAGGACTTAGAGTTTAGGCTTGAGGTGAAGGTTTAGGGTTTGCGGCTGTTAGGCTTTAGGCTTCATAGACTTTACTTAGGGTTTAGGGTCTAGGCTTTAGCCTTTCGGGTGCAAGAGGTTAAAAACAGAGCCTACAGCCTTCTCTTGAAAGGAAATCCTACGGAAATACTAACATAACCCATAGACCCCAAGACCCTAAACCCTCAGACCCCAAGACCCTAAGACTCTAAACCCTAAGACCGTAAGACCCTAAGACTCTAAGGGCTTTAATAGGGACCCTTAATGGGGACCCTTGTAGGTTATTGGGGTTAATATGGAGACTACCTGGCTATATAAGGGGTATATGAGGACTATACAATGGCTATTTAAGGCAGCAATGGGATTAAGGCCTTAGAAAGACCGTAAAGCCCCTAAGACTCTAAACCCTAAACCCTAAACCCTAAACCCTGACCCCACCGTAAACCCTCAAAGCTCTGCTTGCTTTCCGAGAGGCGGAGGAGAAGACCAAGACTATGGCGATTGCCAGCCTCAAGGAGCTTCAGGGTTTCGGGTTTCGGGTTTGGGGCTTCAGGATTTAGGGCTTCAGGGTTTAGGATTTAGGTGCAAGGTCAAGGGTTCTGGGTGTAGGGTTTAGGGCCTATAGGGTTTTGGGGTATACAGGGAAACGTTTTTTTTTGGGGGACTTGGTTGAGGTGTGTCTTCTTCATGCAGGCGGTTACTGGGCGCAGGTTAGACAGGCTATATGTCCTGTTTTTACACCGAAGTCGTGCGCCCAAAATCCTAAGCCCTAAAACTCTAAGCACCAAAACTCTATCGTACAAAGTCTCGTGCTCCCGGCTGAACTAGTGCAGCTGTCCCCCCTCCTCAATAAAACATTCTGAACTTAAGTTACCGGAAACTACAGGTGGGGAGTTTAGGGTACATAGGGCTTCTATCAGGCTTCTATAAGGTATATAGACCTTCTATAAGGCTCCCATAACGGTAGCTACCCTAGATTAAAGTCCGATCCAGAGTCCAAAGCTCGCCGAAGCAAGCACAAACCTGGGGCTTTGGGCTTAATGATTTTGGGGGGGTTCCTTGGTATAGCTATAGTATAACGAGCCCCAAAACCATATTCTAATTATCAGTAAGTTTATTGTTCGGGGCTCCTGAAAGGGGTGGGGTAGTACATCAATGAGGGTGAATTGCTTGTCAAATTCGGGGTCTGGTTCGGGTACCGCATTCTCCCGGAACACCAATTCCCTAAACCCTAAGCCCTAAACTCCAACCTGGCTCTAAAACTAAAGCCTCATACAAAAACCCTGACCCCTAAACCCTAAACGCACAAGAAAGCACACCCTAGACGCCTCAAGACATAAAACCTAAACCCGTGACTCCTAAACCCTACATCACGAAACCCCAAACCCTAAACCCTACATCACGAAACCTTCAGCCCTGAACCCCTGAACCCCTGAACCCTAAGCCTGAAGCTCTGAGCAACAGAGCTCCCTTCTGGACGAAAGGACCTGAACCTGAGCGTAGGTCGGACACCCAGCATTCCGTTTGGTCTGTGGAGAGACTTAGATGCTGAAGTCTAGGGGTTTAGGTTCATTGCTTAGGATTTCAGCATGTTGGTTGAGGGTTTAGTGTTTAGGGTGTAGGTTTGGGGCTTCGGGATTAGGGTTTGAAGTCATTGAGGGTTGAAGGTTTAGGTGTATGTTTCAGTGTTTCGGTTTGGGTAGATGGTTTAGGGTCTACGGCTCTAGCCCAAAAGCCAAAGCCCTGAACCCTAATCTCTACACATTAAGCTGTACCCTCAAACCCTGAACCCTGGACTCGACATCCTTCTCAGCACTCTGCAGCTGATAGCAGCGCTTCCACCGAGGAGACGCAGGCACAGAATCTGAACCTCACTCAGTCCATAGAAGCCGATCCATGTATTTTCACACGCCTGTTTGGAAAAGTAGTAGTAGTAGTAGTAGTAGTAGTAGCAGTAGTAGGAGGAGTAATGGATGCATCTATGCATGATTTTCTGCACGCATATGTATATCTGTGTGTGCACGCAACGTATCCAAGGCCTGAGGGGACCTTACACCTGCCATGTGGCTCCTAAAGCAGGGCACCTCCATTTCAAATCCGAGCCCACCAAACTCCGACAAACGCAATCCTGCAGCCACAGCTCTGATCAGTCACCAGCTAAAGCTCGACTTCCCAATCCCCGAAGACTGAAGCCCGGAAGCCCGAAACCTCACATCGCACCACGTTTTGATGTTCCGACCCACACCTTGCAAGTCCCTGAACCGAAGCTTGGATTTCGGCTCGCATCTTCCAGCCGGACCAGCTCATTCAAGTTTCGAAGTACGGGGCGTGGCTTCTATACCTAACCCTAAACCACCCTAACCTTTAGGCTCTAAGCAACCCTATACTTAAACCTTAAATCAAAAACCTAAACCCTAGATCTAAATCCTAGGCCCTCGCAGAAGCTTGAAACCCTTCCACACCAGATCCGAACGCCTGGTCCGCAAACTCCTTAGGCATGCTTAATGCAACAATAGGGTTATTTAGGGTATAGGATACCATAAATAGTTAATAACAAGGAGCCCCAAAATAGTCTGAGTACTTATTGCGGCCCCTGTATTGACCGTATTACAGGCCAGCCCCCCAAACTCCGAATCTAGTTCCTCATGCTTCCATTGGAAGAATGGCCATCCATCCTGAGATTAGCTTGGTACGTCTTTCGACGTACCGAAACCCGTAAGAGTGCTGTGCTATTTAGGACTGAAGAGAACTACCTATGCAGAGACAGGCTCAGAACAAGGGGCCTGCTTCCGCCCGTCGGCAGCGGTAGTTAGGTGCTCCGCCGTCTCACTCTACATGAAGCTGATTCCGCTGATACAGTTGCTCTTCCGGCCCCCATGCAGTGCAGCAGTGAGGCATCAGGTCCGACTTGAGATGATCCTGGTGTACGTTCCCTGCATTTGCTCCGCCATGTTTCTGATGTCTATCTCTGCGCGCGACATGCCCTTCAGGCGTCTTGGGTTCAGAATGCCATACTTGCCTGTGACTTTCGGGCTTCTGGGTAGTTGTTAGTTGCTAGCCTTTTTGGATTATGGCGGTTTCTCTTCGAGGGATGCCCAAAGAAGCATCGTCTTCCTCGTCCCCATTTTGCGGCAGAAGCAACAACTATATTTAGTACTACTGTTACTACACCTCGAGGACGACGACTACTACCACCTCTGCTGCTGCAACTACTACCACAAATTCGACGACGACGACGACGACGACGACTACTACTACTACTACTGCTGCTGCTACTGCTACTACTACTACTACTACTACTACTACGACGACTACCACTACCACTACCACTACTACTACTACCACTACCACTACTACTACTACTACTACTACTACTACTACTACTACTACCACTGCTCCTGCTGCTGCTGCTGCTGCTGCTGCCGCTGCTGCTGCTGCTGCTGCTGCTGCTGCTGCTGCTGCTGCTGCTGAACTGCTGCTGCTGCTACCACGACCCCCCACTGCTACCCAAACGCAGCAATAACGACAAGTAGGAGCACTAGACCAGTTGCGCAACAGCACATGCAGGACCGCAAGAACCACCAGCAACACCAGCGCAACCGCGACGCCAACCACGTCTATAACAGCAGCAGCAGCAACAACAGCAACAGCGGGGACGACAGCAACGTTTGACCCACAGTGCCATTGCCAGTCTCAGCATCAGAAGAACGTCTGAACAAATGTGACACGATGACCTCACCAGAATGCGGCCAATCACCAGCTTGAAGCACAATTCCGTCTCGTTTCACCTTGTTGCTGGTCTCGAAAAACAGAGCTTTCCTCTAATTCTGGAGCTCCAGTTCGCGTTTGTCAAGATGAGCGATCAGCTTGCACCCCCAAATCCTGCGTAACTGAAACCTGAAACTCGAAGCCGTCAGATATCCGATGATCTTCATCTTGCATGTGGTTCTTGCTCTTGCCCTGGCGGCTCTTGGAGCTTGGTTGGGCTGGAAGGACGCGACTTTCAGACATGTTGGGGCCCATGGTTCCCTAGGAGTCATGGCGGTTTTTCTTATGCTACATGGTGCAGGCTTGAGGCTTCAAAGGTGTGTCGTACAAGTAGTTGTTGTCGTGCTGGGTGGTGGTGCTGCCTGCGGTGATGGTCGCTTCCTCCTCCTCCTCCTCGTGGTAGCAGTCGTCGTCGTAGTACTACTACCAGTCGTTTCTGTAGTGTTGTAGGCGTAGTCCTAGTCGCAATCGTAGCCGCAGCCCCAGCCCCAGCCACAGACGCAGCCGCAGTCGCAGTCGTCGTCCTCCTCCTCTTCGTCGTCGTAGTGGTCTTAGTCGTCGGAGTCGTAGTGGTCGTACTTGTAGTGATCGTAGTGTTCTTGGTCGTGGTAGCGGTCGTTCTCGTGGTGGTCGTGGTGGTGGTGGTGGTGGTGCGGCGGTGGGGCGTGGTAGCGGTAGTGGAAATGGCATTGGTTATGGTAGTGGCATTGGTGGTAGCTGTCAAAGTCCGCAGTTTTCAACTCCTCAACCCTGAGCCTGAATCCATGCAGCCATGCGACGCGGAAGCCCCGAACCCTCAACCCCGGAACTCATAAAAACGTGTTGCACTTCGTTACACTGAAGAACCCTTGATTGAAGTCTCATGTCAGCCAAAATCCAATCCAGGACGCCTTGCCGACAATGGCACACTTCCTGGAAGATTCGCAGAGAAGCAATGAGCTGCTGGTATTTTATACCTGGGTCCCCTTCGCCTGGTTTGCTGTGCCGACCCTGGTCGTGGGGAGTCTCGGTGCCACTTTAGTGGATTCTACTGGGGTTGTTAGTTTTTTTTTATTATGGTGCTTTAGGACTTGAGATTTAAAGTTTAGGGTTTTTACGGCTTGGGCTTTGGCACTGCAGTGTGAGGGTCTTAGGCTTTAGAGGTTGGAACGAAAATGGGTGAAGACTTGAAGGGCTTTGGGCTTAGGGTCTGGGGCTGACGTGGAACACTCACGATGAAATCCTTGGGCTAAACCCAGAGAGCCCGACACGGTGTAGGGTTTAGGGTTTTCGGAAGATGGTTCGCCTTTGCGTGGTTGCCCCTAAACCGAACTAGGCCGACAAAAGACAGTTTAGGGTTGAGGGTTGTCAAGCCTTTCCCAAGAACTGCACAGGACTGCCCAGGACATTGCCGACACTGGCCCACAAATTCTTGGCTTCCTGTTGTACCTGCCTTTGTTGGATGAAGCACGCAAGCTGAACCTTGGCATGTGTCGGCTAGAGGTTTGCAGCTCCACTTCTGACAAGAAAGAGTTCAGCATTCAAGAGTTCAGCGTTGCTTCTGTGCCACGTTTGTGGTTTGGTCTAGTGAGTGTAGAAAGGAAAGGTAGCAGAGCTCTAAACCCCAAACAAGACCCCCGGCTTGCCCTGAACTCTAAGCCCTTTAAGACCCTAACGCTAAACCAAGGACTATGATGTGGATGGCCTACTGCTTATTGGCCAGTGCCAGGTCATTGCAGCTTTGCATGTCTCATGCTGGCATGAAATTCCAGCTCACGCCTTTTCTTTTACGGATTCTTCTGCTGGAGCTCGCTGGCTTAGTGGCAGGACGTGCGCGAATTTGGCGCCCGACAGGAAATTTTGGCATATCCATTCCTCGTTCTTCTAATCGCTCTAGCACCCAAGGCACCACTGATGGTATCCAGTTTGAGTTCCCAAAACCCTAACAATAGACTCAATAGGCATTAAATGCCCTTAACCCTGACCGTGAACTCTCGACCTCACACCCCCAAACCCTACATCCCTCAAACCCGAGGTACCTGAGTCGGCAGGGCACGCCTCTTACCTCGTCATACCTGGATCAATGCTCCAGGTCGAAAGAGGCAGATGGGCCTTGACAAGTTAGTTAGATTTAGTCATGAGCTCTTTTGTTAAAAATGGGGGGGGGGGTTCGTAAGGAGCTGATACTTTTTGATGTTGGAGTCCTAAGGCTAAGAATATTTCATCGGGTATTGGAGATTTATTAAAGTATGCAGCTTTGGGGGGCTATGAAGGATATCACTACTAACTTGGTTATGTCATAGTAGTATAGAGACTGCGGAGCACTCCCGGAAGTTTATAGCAAGCCAGGTCCAGCCAGTCGACACCGCTGACCTACAGCAAGAGCATCAGGCCTGATCTCCTTCATCTGTTTTCGCAGGGTCAAACTCGAGACCGTAAACCCTAAACCCCAAAAACCCCCACTTGAAAAGATAAACAAACAACCCAACACTCTTGACGACAAGGGGGCTTGGGTTTAGGGTCTAGGGCTTAGGCCTAAGGCTTGAGGGTTTAGGGCTTAGGTTTGGGATTTGGGTTTAGGGGCTCGGGGTTTAGACTTCAGGTTAAAGCCGGTACTCTGAACCGCGAGCGACTAAGACAAGGAAATCTCAAAGGTGGCTCTTGTTGCAGGGCTCGAGAAACCCGAGATACACGCGAAGCTGTGAAGCTCAAAACTGCAATCCCGAACCGTGCACTGCAGATATCTCCGGACAGAGCCTAAGCCCCGAGCCCCAAACCTTATGCACAAACCCTAGACTGTAAAGCAGGTTATACCATACTCATATGTGCCGTCTGGAGCCTGTGGACGGGCAGAGATGATTGCAAGAAGCGTCTGGCATCGGCGGCGGCTGCCCCTCATCTTCGCTGAAGAGGGCACAATACAGAAGCTGAACGACTATTGCCTAGGGCTCCTTATTGTAAGTATATTGTAATATCCCTAACCAAAGGCCTTTTCCAAGCACCTTTTTGTAAGATACGTACAAACTTATGTCAGAGTTTTCAGTTAAGGACCTTACCAAAACAGTAGGTTGTGGTCAGTGGTGGTAGGCAAAGGTATAGGTGAATACATCAAACGTCCGGGATCTCTTTAGGATTTGGGGTTTAGGGTTTAGGGAGTAGCAACCTTCTGGTTGGGTCTTCCGGGCAGAACTTCGGCCAACATCCTTTTCAAAAGAGTTGTGGCACGGAAATTACGGATTGAATGGTGCAGCCCAGTACGTACATATTTCACCAAGCTTGTCATGGTAACTGCAATAGCAGGCAATGTCCTTTCTTCAACAAGCTGCAAGCTGACTAAATTTGGGTTCTTGGCTTCAAAGCTCTACAAGATAACTAACATAGCGGCGTCAATACTTAGGATAAAGTTTTGGGGCACATTCTATTGTACGTATAATAAAGAACCTCCCCAACATAGAATTGGTAGCTATTTCGGCGCCTACTAGGGTATTTGCTAAAGCCCTAAACCCTAAACCCTATAAAACCCTAAACCCTAAACCCTATAAAACCCTAAACCCTAAACCTCCGACCCTGCAAGCGAGGTACAAAGACGAGCTGAAGGGCCGACTGTTGTGGGCTGTGCACCTTCACGCCGAGAATCCAAGCTCTTCTGAAGGAGGGTTTGAGTCTACTATAGGGGCCTAAACAATTACCAATACCATTTTGGAGGTTCCTTATGAAATGGCGGTTCCTTATGACATGAATAATATAACCCCAAAACCCTATTCTAATTGTTAAGGCCCCTATATTAGGGTTTAGGGGTTGGGTTTAGGATCTAGGGTTTGGGTTTGGGATGTCTACAGGCTTTACCATGGGGGTGAAATTGTCGATGCAGCTTTACAAAAAATACGGCAATGTGGATAAGCAGAACTCAGGAAGCAGCTCACTTCCGATGTTTTGCTCCATATCCTCACCTTTCTGCACGAGCCGGAAAGGCCAGTCAACAGCAAGTCCTAATGCCCCGGAACTTTAAAATCCGAAGCCCCAACCCCTAAATCTTAAACCTAAACCCTAAACCCTAAACCCGAATCCCTAATCTAAACCGTAAACCTAAACCCTAGTCCCCTCAAGCCCTGAAGCCCAAGACCGGAATCGCCCAAAGCCCTAATGTACATCTCGAAAGTGAACCCCAGCCGGGAGCCGAGAAGACCTATGCAAGTGGTTCCTGAAAAGGTGGGTCTTTTGGGCCACGGGTACGATAGGGACCTTTAATAATTAGAATCGGGTTAGTAAAAAAGACCCCAGAACCTTGTGCTAACTATTAAGGCCCTTATCTTGAAGCCCGAAAAAGGCCGGTAACAACCTTCTTGGGGCTGCTCTCGGACGACAACACGTCCCAGATCTCCGGAAGTCAGCGAACGAGGTTGCGGAAACCCGAACTCCTTAAAGTCTTAGACCCTGAAGCCCCAAAGGCTACAATCCTAAGCCTCAATATCCTGAAGCCCTGCAACCTGGAACCCAAAAGCCTTACCTCAAACGTCGAGCCTTACAACCTCAAAGAGGTCACAGACGCTGTCGTCGCTTTCTTCGGTGTCACTCTTGCGGAAACTCTGTTGAAGATCATCCTTCATGCTTACGTACTATAGTCAGGTTCCGGTTTGAGGGTGCGGAGTTTAGGTTTATGTTCTTAAGAAAAAGCATGAGTCTCTAATCTGCGACGGGCCTGGAACCCCAAACCTCCCAAGACCTAAGACTCAAGCCCTATAAAAGCTTAACCCCAAAGAACGGATGACTATACTCATGTGTCCCCCTATATGGTGACGGGATAGTACCCTCCACAGTGGTTTTCAAAATATTGATGCACCTCATGCCTCACCGAGCCCCAACTTTAAGCACTAATCCGCAAACCCTCATAATACACTTGCAAAACCCCTTATCGGAGCCTCCCTACAAGGAGCGAGCCTAACTTTAACCCTTAAGAATCTTAAACCCCTATCGTAACCTTGTAGGAACCTGTATAGTAGCCCTAACCACGAAAGCAGAAACCTTATAACAAGCTGAATGACCAAAGCATCCTTATCGTAGCCTCACGAACAAAACCAGCAACCACATAGTATCCTAGCTGACCAGAGCAGTAACATTATAGTGCCCTAGCGAGCAAAACTGCAACCTCATAGTAACCTACACAACACAAACAGTAACCGCATAGCAACCTCGTTCAAAAGCAGCAACCTCATAGCATAACGGTAACTGTACAGTAACTTAACGAAATTACAGTATGCTGACCGAAATCACAAACACAGTAATCTAAATACCAAAAATCAACAGCCGAGGAAGCCTAAACCCTAAACCCTAACAGAAAAGGGCACTGTGGGGGCCTTGCATTTTGTGGGTTTAGTCAAACCGGGTCCCAAACAACCTTAAACTTTAAACCCTAAGCCTTCCGAGGAGAAGCATTCCTTTGAAGCTACGGCGGATCTTTGAGCTGAAGGGCTCTTCGGGGGGCCGCCGCGAGGAGGAGGACGAGGAGCTGGAGGTAGAGCCGCTGGGATCTTCCTAAGGAAGCCCGAAGGGCCTTTTTGTCTAGAGTTTTGGGGTGTCGAATCGGTGTTTTTTTGGTTGAGGGCTGTTGTTAGGGAACTTGGTTTCGGCTTTGATGGGTATATCATAGATCTGTACTTTTTCAGGCTAGATTTATACACTTTCTTACCAAGAGACCTCACAAGAAAGATATCACCCTCTAAAGCTCGTATCAAAACTCGAGTATAAAGCCCGGCGGTAGAAGGGTAAGTTGCCCAACAAGATCCCAGGTCGAGCAACCTACAGGCACTCCCGTTGGTAGCGCTGAGCTTCGGGGTTATGCTGGGGACAGCCAGCGTCTCATTGAATGCCAGTGGTCATTGAAGCGCCACCGGTTTCTGGGTTGGGATTCGGGTCTAAGTTTAGGGCTATGTAGGCCATAGTAGGGTTTCAGGATCGAATCAGGGTCTAGGGCCGCAACTCGCCGGCGTTGCGCCTTTGTTCCGTACTTGAAGAAATCACCACAGCCTGTTTTCAAGCTCGGCCGCGGCGTGGTGGAGGAGAAAGAAAGCGGCACCATGTTTCGTCATTGCGGTCGCTACGCAAATGAAATCAACACTGTGGTAATATCCCCCTATATAAACCCTAAACCCTAAACCCTAAACCCTACCAACCAGTTTCAAGATTGCCGTCATGGCCACAGTGTCGACAGTAGCGGATAGCAAGGCTGTTGGAGAGCATCGAGCCGTTGATCATTTGCGAATTCGCCATGATGCTGAGCGTATTCAGCAGTATTTCTGAATCGTTGTGCGTGCGCAAGAGCAAAAGATTCCGCCAGACCTTTTTGATGGCCTCTTGCTTGGCTTCTAGGCTGTTTTGACAACGGGTATAAGCTCCGCGGGTCGCAAATCTTTCCGAGGGATCCTCATGTAATCAAGAATTGCAGAGTTCCAGTCTGATCCTAAGTCTGCAGGGTTCGTAGAGACTTGGGTTTCGACTTGTGGGAATTCAGGATGTAGGGGATGTCGAAGTCTGGGTGTCGGCTAAACCCGAGCCTGCTGCCCCTAATCCCCAAAGCTCTGAACCCAGTCTCGCCTTAAAGAGTTTCAGAAAAAACGAACCCTTGGTGCTCAGCCAAATACATGGGATCTTACACATAAGGGATACAAGACTCCCCAACAAAGACCCCTACTGTTCGAACCCTCCATCCAAAAAATCAAAATTCCCATATGAGCCCTTGCTGGCAAAACCTACTGCACCCTGAAACCATTGCACACGGCACGGCGCTGTCAAGCCATTGTATCACCCGACGGGTCCTCAGCTCCAAACCCTAGGCCATAAACCCGAATCCCCAAAGCCGAAACCCCAAGTCCTGAATCCCAACCCTAAATTTGAACCCTTAGCCTTAACCCAAACAATGACAGCAATCCTAAACTGACAAGGTCCTGGACAGCGCATCCTGGTGGTCGGCCCTAGTGGATGCGGAAAGACCTCTGTTTTGCGGGTGCCGCCGGGGGTTTAGGGTTTAGGGTTCAGGGTTTAGGATAATGGCGTGTCTGTGTTGGTGTGTGAGAGACTATTTATGTGTGTGTGTGTGTGTTACTGCTCAAAACTCTTGGGTTAGATTTGCAAAACGGTTCGTTAAAGGGGTCTACAAGAGCTCTGGAGGACTTGACGGCTCTAAAGTGTGGTTTGGGGTGTAGGGGTCAGGGCTCTTCTATAGCATGGAAGCCTGAACAGTTCGTGATACTCTACCCGGTGGCAATTTTATATCTGGGTTCTTGGAGGTGCTTCTGATCTTGGGGTTTATGCTTGATGTCTTCAGAGTTCAGATAGTTTGGGCTGTGGGAGTTTCGGAAGCGCGCTGAACCCTACAAACCCTTGACCCTAGTTTAGGGGTTTAGGGTTTGGGCTTCAGGGGTGTTTGGCTTGGTTCAGATACTGTCTGCAGGGGGTGGTGATGGGGCGGCTCTGTTCAGCTTCGGCGATGCACGAAAACTGTTAATGTTTGAAGTGATCAAGAGACCCTGGCCCTGTAACCCCAAACTAGTAGGGTTCACATGGGTAGGGTAGTTCTTCAAATTAATTAGGGTCCCTTTTTAGGTCCCCAACATAGTACGGCACCCTTGTAAAAAGGACCCTAAATGGGACCCCAGTTTAGAGAACTACCCATATGAAGATCCCTAACAAAGACCCACGGTTTTTTAATCAGGTTTCTACGCTAGAGAGCTTAGGTTTTGGTAAGCTTCGAGGTTTGGGAATTGGGGCTTGGGGATATCTTGCATCTTGTTAGGTTCCGCTGAGGGATCCCCAAGCCCTAAGCCCCTAAACCCTAAACCCCTAACCCCTAAACCCCAAACCCCTCAACACTGAACCCGACCCCCTAAGCCCAAATATCGGGGCCTTAATGATGGGGGCTTGGGGATCTTGTTCTGGAAAGGTTTTTGGTTGTAGTTGCTGAAACTTCGTTCCTGCGTGCGAAGCGTGGACCTACACCCCTACATCCTACACCCTGCAGCATGAAACCCGCAAAGCCCTTGAATTCAGCGAAGCCTGAAGAACTAACAATACTCTATACTGTCCCTTAACGATTCCCCAAAACCCGACTCATTTGTCAGTTCAGGCCCCCACGTTAATTCCCACATCCCCCCTAACCCGCTGAACGACCATCGACGGGGAGGTGGCAAGCGGCCTGTGGCAGCCGATGTCCGGAACGGTGGAGAGGCAGGGTTGGGGGTGCGAGAAAGGTGTTGGGCCCAGGCATTCTTTTGGGGGTTTAGCTTTACTATATAGGGGCCTCAATAATTAGACTAGGGCTTGCAGGGGTCTGGGGTTAATGGTGTACTACAAGTTTAGCAAGGAACTAAGGAATAGCAATGGAAGGTTCGCGTTAAGTGTGTGAGATTGAAGACCCTAGACCCTAAGATTTTCTGGTCAGCTATTTCGGCGGGTTTAGTGGTGAAGGTGTGCTGTAGGGTCTCGGGCTCCGGGCTTAGAGGAATTGAGGGCTAATCCTAAACCCTAAACAGAAAATTCTAAACTCTAAGCCCAAAACCCTAAAACCCTAAACCCTAGACCCTAAACCCTAAACTCTAAATCCAAAGCCTTCAAAGGTATAGGCTAGGGTTTTGTGTTTCAGGGCTCCCGTAGTCTCAGGATCGATGTTCGGCTCGAGGGTCAGGCCTAAACCTTGAACCCTGGCTCTGCAACTACAACTTCTACACGAACAGCAACTATTACTATTGTTGCTTATTCTGAGTGTTGTTAACTATTTGGCTATTATTATTACTACTATTGTTCTTTTGCTGCTACTACTACTGCTGCTACTATGACTCCTGCTGCTACTGCTCATACTACGTACGTACTCCTCCTTCTGCTGCTGCTTCGGCTACTTTTTCGGAAGATTCTTGAATATAGCTGTAGTATAAGATACCAAAACCCCATTATAACTATAGTATGATATACCCCAAACTTATTACAATCAATCGTATATTACACGCCAAAACCCCATTATAATCATCATAGTCACGCGGATCCTGCAGAGGCCCAAAATTGGGGACTTGCTCTTCGTCCCGCAAAGGCGAGGCATGGGGCAGAGAAGACACCGGGGGGTCGCCTCAATGTCAAGGAACCCGTTAGCCCGTTAGGCCCTGAACCCTAGAGTGTAGGGTTTACCGGAATAACCCCTCAATGTTAAATAAAAGTTAGGCCCTAAACCCTAGTTTCGGGTTTAGGGTTTAGGGTATGTGGCGGGTGGTCACGAGTAGTCAGGTTCGCGGATTCAGGCCTTCAGGTTTGCGAGCGCGGGCTCGGGTTTCGCAGCCCCCAAACCTGCTCCGGGCATGGTTGCTGCGGAGATGTCGCGCGAGCAGTCCAGGGTCGTTTTTTTTTCGTTCCCCAAGGTCGAAATGACCATAAATGCATAGATTGCCTAAATAAAAATTAAAGAGTTAAGAAAGTTAGCGAAAGTTTATGCAAGTATCTTTGATAATGAAGGTGTCTTGGATGTTAGATGGTGATATATCGCTTTTTCAAGATAAAATTCAGGAAGATAACAAGCTGATAAAACACTATTCGGACACAATTGAGCAAATTGAAATACTTTGTAACAGTGAAGGAACCAAACACACTAAATATGTTGAACTATTCAGCTCAAAAACCAAAGAATGCCGTTAAGTGGATTCAGAAAAGTATTCAGGACAGCGAGGAAGACTATGGCGACCGAATCAGTCTTAAACAATAGACAAATAATGATTGTATGTTGTTGAAATAATATTAGTCTTGCGTCTCATGCCTACCTTATTCCTAGACCTCGTTGCGATTATAGATAAGTTATAAGATTAGACCATTTCCATTTTCTAGGGTTCGGGATTTCGGGTTGGGTATTATGGATTTTTCTTTGGCGCTATTGGTGTATAAGGTTGAGTATGGTACTTTACATAGGGCTGGGGGCATGGTTCCATAGTAGGGATTTTGTCATGTGGATCTTAGTATGGGTCTTCCCATGGGGTCTTTCAGCGAGTTGAAGGTTGAGGCATAGGTTGTTCTGTTTTGGGTTTTCAGATGGCCTAGGGGGGTGTGCAGGGTTCGAAGTCGAAATGGTCTCTGCTAACTTATTGTACTCTAGCTTTAACAAAATGGACGATTCTTCAGGCTTCTATATCGAGGGCCTGAATAATTACCATCGCATTCCATCGGAGTCGTTATATAAGTCAATTAGAAGATAGCCTCCCGAAGCCGATTCTACTTGTTAAGGCCGCGATAGCACCCCCCCCCCCCGCCTCCCCCCCCAAGGCCTAAACTCCAGAGCCAAAGCCCTGAAACTGCAAACCCTCAACGCTGAGACCTAAACCCTTCACCTTAAAGTCCTCTAGTTAGCGCCCAAAAGCCTTGTAGAACCCATCCAGAATCATTTTAAAACCGCTGTTTTATTCTTTTTTGAACCCTCATCCTCGTTAGAGGGTCCGGAAACGCGCCCAAGGCCCTACATGCTTCTGGGCAGCCTTAGGGAGCAGCTTTGCTATCCATTGCGCGAGGCGCCAGTTAGGGCTGAGGGTCGAGGGCTTCTGGTTTGGAGTTCAGGGTTTCGGGCTTCGGGTTTGGAGTTCTGGGTTTAGGGTTTAGGGTTTGGAGTTTACAGTTCGGGTTATTTGGGGCTTAGTGCTTAGAGTTTAGGGAGTTTGCGGTTTCGAGCTGTGGGTTTGGGGTTGAGGGGTTTTGGTTTGGGTACTTATAGTACGAATCGTTTAGGGCTACTGATTGAGGGTGTTCAAACTCAAGACTGCTCTTGTGACACCATTCTTGTTTGTCCTTGCTATTCTTCGTCATATAGTAACCAAAAGGCCTTAAACCACAGACCTTGAACCCAAACCCACGCCCTAACC